TGATACTCAATAGTCAACTATATATATTGAAATATAACTTAGTTGCTAAATGTTTTTTTACAAGTTCTTGTTGCAATTTTGTAGGGTTAATATACTTACCACTATCCCTTTTCAACCGTCGGGTGAATGTCAGTATTCGAATTATAGCGTTCAACCAGATGTCAAACTTACCCGAATTGGCAATAGTGTTTTCTAGTATATTTCGGTTTGCATGCAACGGATGGTTAAGTCGGGATTTATATAAGGTGTTACATTAATGTAACTTAAAGCGATAATATTAATCTGCTTTTTATTAGCATTTGGTCTCTACTGATATCTGTCATTAAGCGGCACTTGAAAAGAACCTAATGTGTGCCTTAATGCAGTACGTGCGATAAATTGAATATTTGTTTTAATTATATAAACTGCAGTGTTTTAAAGGATTTCTACCACCGAGAAATGTGGTATCTGAACACACGTAAAAATACGATATTTCTACATGTGAAGATATCGATAATTTCACTGACATCAGGTTTGTCTCTTAAATTGTACTTAAATTCGTTGGTGTATCATCGAAACATCTTCGGGTCTTCCTCGAAAGTGCTCGGCAATCTTCGGCAATCTTCGGACATCTTCGGAAATTTTCGGAAATTTTCGGAAAATGTTCGGGAACGTTCGTCTGGTCTTCGGGATAATTTGAAAAATCTTCGGAAATCTTCGGAAGGTGGTCGGAAATCTTCGGAAAATCATCAAAAACGCCGTCATCAGTATGTTTATTTATTATATACATACTGAGAAATACTCACCAAAAAGCTATGTCGTAAATTTTCGTACGCAAATTAGTTATAGCCAATCAGAGGAGCGAACGATGGTTTTCACACGTGAAAAAAACGATACGTCCAATCAGAATCGCGAACGATGTTTTTTCACGTGTGAGAAAAATGATACGTCCAATCAGAAGCCACAGAGGTGTAGGAGTTTCGCGCCAAAATTCCCGCCTTTTATTGCAGCTTGCAGCGCCGCTTCGCACACATTTATCAACGAGAAAAGTTTTACTCAAGGAGTTTTTCTCGCTAAAAAAGTGAAAAACATTTCGGAAATGGAGTGGAATAGTTTCGTTTGTTTCACTGTCGATAAAAAAATACGGTAGAGAGCCAGTGAAACAACAGCGGAAAGGGATAAACAGAACGAGACGTAAGCTTTTGTTGTGCTTTTTGTCGGAGCTACTTTGCCTTTCATTTAAGCTTAAGCTTATATTGAAACCGGCCATTTTACTTAAATTCACTCATTTTCAATTGTGCATTGAGAACAAACAGTTAAGATTACTTATAGTTCTTGGATTAAACCTCATATCCTCACCGTCATTTATGTTTTTAACAAACGTTTTTACTAAAAAGCTGATACTTCGTTTTCGTTGTCATTTTGCAGTAAGTGTGTAGCGGCAAATTTTAGCATTTTTGAAAGATTTAAAATAAAAAGGCCCGCAAAATGATGAATGACTCAGTATGTATATAATAAACACAATACCACATGGAAAGTGCTTTGTACGGTATTTACGCACTCGTTGTTTTTGTATCAGAAATCTTACTCGTTCGCTGCGCTCACTCGTTCGATTTCTGATACGTCAACAACTCGTGCGTAAATACCGTACGCCAGCACTTTCCATGAAGTATTCTCTATATAATAAAAAGAATATTACACGTTAGCTCGAAGATATGAATTTTATGTTCTCGTGGCAAGAGCAATATCTCATTCGTTCGCGGTCGCTGCGCTCACTCGTGAGATATTGTTCCTGCCACTCGAACATAAAATTCATATCTTCTCGCCACCGTATAATATTCTCCATTTCCTGCTGATCCACTGGACGAAAAAATGGATTAAAGCCTGGACTAATCTCTGCTCGCAAGGTATCCAAATATGTCGCAAAAATGTAAAAACTGAGGAGTAAATTATGGGGCAAAGATGGTAAATGCCACATTTGCATATATACCAAAAACAGGTGGTGTAAATAACCTGCAGGCAAACGTGGCATTTACCATCTTTGCCCCCAGATTTACTCCTCAGTTTTCATAATTTTGCGACAAATTTGCAGGGAGCAAATTAGTCCACATCCATTTTTCGTCCAGTATGAAAGTTTAATTGCCAATTATTTATAGACTGTCCAACCTTTCAAGTATATATTCTAACCGTAGAGGAATAACGCGAGCTCCGAGAGTCTGGTAGCTCCGTCACGAGCTACCAGAGCGGTATGGGGGCGTGCTCCGCCAAAGATATTTTAACGGTTGATGCTCTAAAACGCCATTACTAGTGTGCTCTTCGTTCTCGGAGAGGACAGTTTGAAATTCTGTCAAAAATGGTCGGTAATTAGCAATTAATTTTATGACTGCGGTCCTAACTGGCTTCCCAATATCTTCCTCTAAGGGCCGGGACAAAGATTGAGTTCTCCCGAATTTCGCTCAATCTTAGCTTAAGCCACTGAAATTACTTGTACTAAAAGAAATAAAAAAAAAATTAATTCAAAGAGAATGAAATGTCGTTACCATCAGGTAGGCTCACAGATGTCCTTCTATAGAGTTTAAAAAAAGACTAGAGACCGCCCCCACCCCCCGCTTATCCCCGGGTCTGGATGACCGCAACCCCCCCCCCCCCCCCACCCCTTAATCTGAAAGTCTGGATCAAGTGGCCTGCAAGTTTTTCCTTTTCCGTGTCTCTTCATGATCAGCTGTCTGTTCAGTTCATATCTACACAGAAGTATATGAATCCGGGGATATATGCTTCTGATCTACAAAACAACTAGTTTCACGCTAGTTTCATCCATATAAGAACTGGTTTGGACAGTTTTTCATGTGTTTATTTCCTATGTTGAGCATGACAACTTGAATTTGATTATAAATCTCTCTAATTTCTTAAAATTATGTTTAATTGCTTTCTAATTGGAAATCAACGAATAGCCGTAAAATTCATAGTACATATTATTACTCGTTTTCAGTACTAATGTTTTCGATTATTCAAGTCATTGAGTGGACGTTCGGAAGAAAAAAAAACTTGATAAAACAACAATTGATGTGTCGCAAACTTAAGTTTCCTTTAGGCGGATTAGGGACAAAACCGTGAAAAAACCTGTTTTCCTGTTTTTAGTCATTTACCGACATTTCCGGCAATCTACTGACGTTTAATAACGTAAACAGCCCATTAAACTCAGAGCAAACTAATGTTCTGCCTCCAAGTCTGTTTTCTTTAGTACACGGTGTTGTAATCTCTTATACCAAAAGATTAACAGACTCAAAGTTCCTTTTAGCGGATTAAAATACTGAAGAACGTGAAATCAGTGTACCAACGTTTTTTGGTGACTTGAGTAAGTGACTAGTGAGAACAAGCTTTACTGCTGTAAAACCATTTGGGAGAGTGAAATGCAGTCCTATTTTGACTTATTTTTGGGTCTAATTTTGCTTCCTTAATCAAAAAACCAAAAAATTGCCTTTGTGGATGTTTTCACCTGATTTTACATTAAATGGCCAGATTTGTTTTTTTTTGTTTTTTTGCTGAAAAGTGGATTTTTCTCAAAAAGCTTAGTACTTTGCTTAATCACGGCCAATATAGGCCTATAGCTACTTTGGCCCACGGGCTGAACGAGACCCACTGCAACCTGGCCTGGAATAGCCAACATTAAACGGGGCTGTTTTGGCTTAAATTGCGTTCAAGTGTGGCTCCATGAGAGGCTGAATCATTCTTTTCCCTTCTGGGCTAAATTGGCACTTTCATTCGGGGGCTGAAACAGTGCATCTTTCTTGGTCCTTTTAAATCCAGCGTTAACGAGAAGATTCTCGATTAATATTTACGATGTTGTGTTCGCGACGAGTAAAAATATAATTTACAACGTGCAGCTGCTTTGTTCGTGTTTACAAAATTTTTGTAAATCGTGCTTTATTATTTTTTTGTTACGGGTATCTCTTTATTATGTAAAGCGCTACTGGACCAATGGGAATTAGCGCTCTATAACTATTGTATTATTGTTTTGTCATTATCCTTGACACAGGAATAAATGTATGGTCAATGCCAACAAATATACCAGGGAATTTACCATGCAATCTGTTTATTCAGTTACAGAGATCCATGGTATACAGTGAAGGTAGCGTCCCTCGGTCGAATATGTTGTAGTTCATTTTTTATTTCACCCAAAAACAAAAGAAAAGCAAAAATTACCTGAGATCAAAAATTAACTACAACAGAAATGACCATAATGTTAATTTAATGATTGTGAATTTTTTAAAGAGGCTTCAGTATATGGGGAACTTAACAACCTCGTTCCCAGGGTCTTGCTCTACTCGGCCGCCGAGGCAAGAGAGAGAGGACCCTGGGAACGAGATTTTAAAATGTATGTCAAAATCGATCGTTATCAGAACTTTACCATTGCTACGTTTATATGGCCTACTGAACGATTAGATATTTTCACTAGTTCAATAAAAAGAAGTCACTGCAGACTGTTCAACACTAGGTGCCTGATGACGAGAAAAATACCCTTGCTTACTGCTCTCCGTTGCAGCTTCAATGACCACAGCAAAAGTCCAGGTTCCAAAGTGTACTAAAATAATGCAATACATTTCTTATCAGGCCGTCGTAATACCATAGCTTTTGTTTAATGGGTAGACACTGAAGATATTATCATTCTTCATTTCATATTCCAGTTCTCTGAATCACCTTTTTTAGACTAAGTTTCCCAAAAGAAAAATTTTAAACAGTTTAGTGTTAATTTCAAGACGTAACAGCTTAGCACTAGGCATGCCTTTGTAAATCAAGCAAGATGGAATATTATTTCACCCCTTTGTGCTATATCCTGGCATTGCCTAATTTCAATTTGAGAAGGGCTGGGTACAAGTCCATGTATTATGGGGATAAACAACACATTACCCCTGGAGTCAGAAAGAGCACATCGAGGTAAGGAAAATTCTTAAGTTTGGTGTTAATCGAGTCATTATCAAACAAGATACGGCTATTTAAAACCTTGAAAATTTACCAAGAGACGTATACAGCTGTAGATTGCCAGCCACACTGTCGGAAAGTCTACATAATTTGTAATAGTGAATTTGCAAGTTTTTGAATGGCTGTGTCTTGTTTAATTTAGGCCCGATCAACACCACACTCGAGTTTTTACTAAAATCTGGTTTCCCTTCTGACTTTGTGGCTCTCATGTTGTTTAACAGACTCGCACCTGTCTTGTACCTTGTGTCCTCAGTTTGAAAAATTGGCAATATTGGAGTAATTGTCATGGGGCAGAGAGAGGGGGATCAATAATATAATATCATTAATGGTATCTACATTTTTAGAGCTATTGAAGATCCCAACAATAAATTCTACATCAACACAATTGTTATGATAGTTGTTTATTGTGAATGGGAACCCTTCTACATTTACATTACAAGGAAGCTGCACGTTAGAGTTACCGGCAAAATTCAGTTCAGACTCTAGAAAGGAAAATAATTAAAACAAAAAAAAAAACTACAGATTTTTGTGACTACAGCACCATGAACCAAACACTGCATTCAGTTGGTAAATGTTGCCTGCCCAAGACTGTTAGCATTTAAGTCTACTCTGATCAGTTCACTTGCTATCCATTGCCAACATTATAAGAATATCACATTGCTTCTTGAATGACCAAAATCCTTCAGGTTCCTTCACCCAACTTATAATGAATAATATAAAGTCAAAGTTTAAGGGATGATATCACTTGCTTCATGGTTTAAGCCCTGATGCTGCCTTCTAGGGTGCCTTGACTCCAACCACTTTCTTGCCTCCCTGTCCAAAAAGTTTAAAAGAAACTTGAATCAACAGTTCTTTACTTTTTCATGTGAATACATACTGAAACAGTAACCTGATAAGTAGTCGGAGGCTCTCTGTCAGTGCACACAAACAAAAAAAGACCAATATAATACATGCTGATAGAGTTCACATTTCACTTCTTCCATATTGAAGCAGGGCTCGAAAACCACTTTAAATTCCAGCTTGCCATTTGGGCAAGTAGCTCTCATGTTTACTTGCCCAGGGCAACTACTTACTGGTCATAGTTAATGATTTTGTTAGAGTTAGTTGCCCAGCAAGAAAACCTACCCATCCCAGGAGACCACTGGCGGTTTTCTTGAGCCCTGCGAAGAGCCAAAAAGTTTATGTACTAGGGAAAATGATCACCCAGAAAAAAATCTAACAACATTGCGCATGATGCTCACTCAGAGAAAAAAAAAAGTTTTCAAAAACTGAAAGCTAGAGGTCACGTGCAGTGAATCAAGTATTACACAATAATAAATTATTTTATATGTAAACTGTACATGCATTCTGTGGTCCAATCTTCTTCTTGGTTTAAACTTAATTTCTTCAATCTCATTGCAGACATAAACAAAGAGAACTAAAATTTAAACTAAGGATAAAACTAAACCACATTCTTCGAAAAAGAGTAAAACACAGCACAAAAATGGCAAGCAAGCAACAAGGGCATAGCGAATACACTTTCCAAAGGACTGCAAGCAAGTGAGCATACAGGTCACAAGGTGCCCCTGCTAAGGGCATCGGGCTGCCCCAGGCATAGTTGGGAAAACTCCTGACCAGCATTTGGTCCAGGTTAACTTTGCCTAAGTTACATTAAGCTACATTAAAATGATACTAAAACATTCTGGTGCTATCAATGACATAAATGTAAAAGTTATCAGCCACTGGAAAAGTGACCATTCAAATTTCAACAGCTACTGAGATGTACATTCAGGTGCTAATGCATGTTTTAAACTGTACTTTTTTCTACCTACATGTACAATGCACATGGCTAAAAACCTTTGCTCTAAGCAAATGTAGAAGAAAGCCACAATAATACTTTCCAGTGGAAATGTCTATTACATGGAGTTTCTACCCACCATGAGATATATTTAATATTTTTGGTAAAGCAGTATTTTGTTTGATAATTTACTGAAAGACATATTGTGACCAGGCTCCAGTTCAAGGCTGCTGCCTAAGAAAAAATTTTGGGAGCCCTTTGAACTCTTTAAATAGAAAGTTAGGAGCCCGAGCCACATTTTTTAGCAGCCCATTGGGTTTCAAATTTCCAGAAAAGTGCTTGTTTGCTTCCTTTTATCAGCGAAAGCTTTTCGCCTACAGTCGATGAACACATGTTTTATGTTTTCATTTCAAAAGTGCAAAATGAGCACGGAATTCTGTCATTCCTTCATTGGAAGTAGGCATAGAGGGGCTATTCCCATACGAATCACAAATTTTAGGCAGCCTCTGGCAACCAGTTACCCATTAGGCAGCAGCCTCGCAGTTGTTCAATGAATCATTTTCTATTGGATACCCGTATTTATTCGAATAAGCACCCAACCTTGAATTAGCGCCCACCTCGAATAAGCGCCCATCCTAAAGGTAGAAAAAGTTAACATACGCCCAGCCTCGAATAAGTGCCCACCCCACCCCCTCCCAATCAAACCCAAATAAGCGCCCACCCTCACCCCACCTACTTGAGTGATAATGAGATTCAAATTGAAATTGAATAAGTACTAATAAGAGACTTTCCCGAAGGCGGAGTGTTCCCCCGAGTATTTTACAGAAACCTTGCGTTGTTGCTTCTTCACGTTTTGTTACAGGCATTTACTGTTTTGTTGCAAAATAAAAATACTACACTAATTGCTGAAAATGGTGAAAATTTATTAAGCGCCCAGCCTTGAATAAGCGCCCACTCTCAAGGTCCAAACATTTAATAAGCGCCCAGGGCGGTTAATCAAATAAATACGGTACGTATTGGAAAAATACCTATATGACTGCATTATCCACTAGATAGTGCTAGACACATTTTGAACAACTGGGGCTAGACCTTTCACTTTGCCTTTAAAACTTAGTTGCAATAACAGCTTACATACTGCACATTTAAAACCCAGAAGAAAATTAATACTAATAATAAAACAAAAATTTAGTTTTATTTAATACATTTAATTGTAGATGTACTTAAAAAAATCTAACCTTTTTGAATTCCTCATCCTGACGTTTCTCATAATGGCCAAAGTCATCAAAGATCGACGTCTGGTGCTTGTAAGAATGAATGATCTTCAAAACCTGTTTCCCCTTCTCGGGAGGCACTTCCTGAGTATCACGGGAATTGGTCACAGGTTTGTTATCATTATTTTCCAAACGAATGTGACGCAATGCATTGTTAGGCACGTCCTTGACATAACACCATTTCACCTCAAACTTGCCTTTCCACTTGTCTTGAGACCATATTCCAGTCTCAATCTCCAAATCAACTTCAGACATCATCATTGCAATTCCACAGAAGTGTCCACTGCCATTGACACTGAACAGCAGGTATGTTGGAGCACTGCCACGCTGCTGCTCCTTAAACGCCTCATTCAATCGCCTGTTGCCATGTTCTGTGCTTGTCCAGACACTGTATTTGATTGAACGATGAATATCGTCCTCACTGTAGCTTTTGATGATGAAGAAACGAGCATTTTTCTGAACAAGATTAAATTCCCTCGGATTGTAGCAGTTCTTAGCCTTCAGCCTTTCAAGAATTGGTACAGACTCCGATGGAGTCACAGGTGTATTGGAAGGTCCTGGATTTCCAGACATATTGCTTCCTGCTGCATTAGGTCGTGGCCTTGTGCCGCGACCAATGGCAGGCTTAGTGGCCCCTGATTTCACAGCATTACCCCATGCTCCAGATTCTACTTTGGATGTTGAAACAGCTTGTTGAGAGGTAGGAGGAGGTGGAAGTTTAGGTTTTGGAGGGGGCAGTTTTGGTTTGGGTTTAGCTGGTTGACTAGCAATTGCAGCCCACGATTTTGGTTTGGTCTCTGAAGCACTAACACTTGATGCACTAGTCACTTGAGACGACAACTTGCTCTTATCATTCAATCCCTCAACTCCTTTGTCATTGACACCCAGAGCCAAACTAGATAATGCATTTTCCACATTGCCTGTCGAACCAAACTCCTTTCCCTTCAGAGAGTCTATGTCGACCCCAATTGGATTTAAAGTTCCATGTTCCGAAGTAGGGGGTGGTGGTGGTTGGTAAAAATTCGGCAGCAAAGGTGGACCTGAAGTTGGTGTTTGCTCTCCCCACGAGATATCCGTTGATGTTCCCGGGAAATACAAAGCCGGGGCTCCCTGGGAATTGTGTCCCAAACTGCTTAAATAAGCATTTGTAGAAACTGCAACTCCTGCATTGTGATTAAACATCTGATCGGGTAAAAGCTGTTCTCCGTTTCCGACCGCACTGAAACCCGAAGATGGAAATAGCGTATTGGGATTTAACGATGGCACACCGGTTGACCAAGTGCCGTCGCTAATTCCCGCCGCGTTCAGATATGGAAAAGGCATCGGAGGCAATCCAGTGTTCGATCCAGTGGTTGTACTTGGGTAAAAAGGAGGCAAATAAGTGTCCGTTAATTGACTTGGCAAACTCGTGCTATCTGGTTGAGAATTCAACTGCTTGTCGTTGCCCTAAACGTGAATGATCGACAGCGAAAGATAATCAGGAGCCATGACGTCGTCGCGAAATCGAGGGGAAAGAAATAAAAACATGGCAACAGTTAGAGATAAGTCTTAATGACTTTGCGAGAAGGTATTAACGGAGACATGCAATAAAAGCGCAAGTGACGCAGAAAGATATAATATCAAAAGCAAATATTCGAAAAAATCTCACCTGTTTCGTCCCCGGATGAAGGTATCGATCGAGGTCTTCGGGAGCGACATTTTGTAACTCTCCGTTTTTATTCACATAACCTAAAATACATTTTTAAAGGTGATAAGTGAGGTGATTATTAGATAGAGTAGTTGTTTTTACGCCTAACTAATGTTATAAAATGGCAAATAACCCACCTTTTCCGCCGTGGTCCTTGGGTCGCTGATGACACACGAGGAACGCAAATCAAGGAATGCAAGAGGAAATTAGAATTTTGAATTAGTCGTTGTTGCTTTCGCAGGCAGTAAAGATCAGCGAAAGAAAATCTAGATAAACAGAAATTTTACCTGTTCAATAGTCGTTGACATGCCCTTCAGGAATGTTATAGTCTACGCCACAAAAAACTCCGCAAATTACGATATCTCGCGTCCACGTCGTTTAGATCATGAAGTGCTAAAGAACAAAAGAAAATGGCCGCTCCTTCAGTGGTTCGTCTGCGCGTGCTTTGCGTGACTTCACCAAATTTACGCAATCTGTCAATCAACTGGTCCAAATATGGTGATTACCTCTTGTACCCATCACACCTTTCGGTTCAAGAAAACAATATGGCGGAACATAGACGAGATAACCCTTAGAAGGGCTGTGTGTACGCCATGGCTCTGCTACAGGTTAGATTTACAAGGATTGCTTCATTTGTTTATCGGTATAACAACCTAAAGAAGAAGGATTTTTTTTCTGTTTTAGTGGCGCAGGTTCAACTTTTTTGACAAGGAAATTCTCAAAGACCCCGGAACAAACCAACCATTCTCCGCGCTAAAGGTATGGCGATATTATATTGCTCACGTTTTTACAGTAGGTTATGGAGAGGCCAGTATCTCAGTGATAATGATTATATTCTAAGAATGAATATGCATGCATGAATACAATGGATCGCACACATATCATCCTATCCAATTTTCAAGACAGTCAAGAGAACAGCCATTTTTTAAAATGGATTTCCTGTATTATTATTATTATTATTATTATTATTATTATTATAATTATTATTAATTATTGGTAGTAATTTTATTGTCATTATTTTCCTTATTCTTATTATTATACAAATCAAATTGAATTTTTTAAACACTTAAGAATAAAGATAAGTGAAACTTTTTCACTTATCTTTCTTCTTAATGATTAATATTACAAATGATATTAAGAATATTATCTACATCTAAATCTAAACTGATAACTGTATCAATCCCCCATGGGGGATATATAAGATTCAGAAGTATGATCAGCAGTCTTCGTTATAATAGTGGCTAGTGTTAATAATCCTTGAAATGTTTAAATTAGATAGGCCAGTTTTAAATGACTGGGTTGAGGATGCACAATGCAAAGTTAGTGGTAAAGAGTTCCATTGAGGAATTGTGCGTTGAAGAAAGGAAAATCGATAACAGTTGGTATTGGACTGTAGTCAAAGATACGACAGATCAGAAGTATGACTTGATTGGCGACCACTTGGCACGAGGTGTGAAGTGCAAGGAGATATCAACAAGAACGTGAACAATTTTGTACATAAGCACCAGGCGGCCTATTGCCCTGCACTCCTCAAGCGACTGCCAACTGATGTTACTAATCATGTTCGTCATTCTTGACTCTATGGTAGTCTCCACTAACAAAGCCAGCTGCTTGTTGTTGTACCTTCTCAAGTGATAAGATTATTGTTGTTGCAGTGATCATGAATTAAGCTTATAAATGAATGACAGCAACAGCAAGAATTTTTATTGACTCCTTATACTTAAGAAAAATTAAATGTTCATGAAATAAAATACATAATAAAATGAATAAATTAAATTAAATTAAATACCTGAATGGAAGATGAAACAAAAGTGCAGATACATGTGATTCAGTTCTTTCAGTTTTGCTTTCAACAGGTGGAATTGAAAGAAAAACAGAAATGTGAAAAAATTAATGTGACTCCATCCTCAGAATGCATGCATCTTTTATAACATCTCTATAAATGTTTGTCTATCAAAATAGCATGACTCATGGTGTTGCAGAGTTCGTGTAATTTGAATTAAGCTGTTTCATTTTGTTTTTTTTTCATCTGATCTTGTGAACAGGATGTTGACATCACATCTTGTACAAGTGGAAGAGGGCAGTTAGTTATCGGAGGTAATGTCATTTTTAATATTTTGGCTATGCCTGTAGAGTATTCCATTTCCCAAAACCCTTTTTGATCCTTCCTGACCTTGTAGCTCTATATAGGCTGTTTATCATAAACTATAAAAGAGTTTGCAGAAAATGCAAATAATGGAAAGTCAATAGAACAGTCATTTAGTATTAGTGATATGTTAAGAGGAGGCAGAGATGTTTCAACAGAATTCTCTCCTGCAGTTTTAGAGCATTTGAACTGAAAACTGTTGTTATAATATTATGTGTTTGTACAATTAATATTATTGTTAATTATTTTATAGCGAAAATCACATGACCAAACAGGTTGCTTGAAATGGTCATCTGAGTTATTAAAAAATTTAGATGCAAACAATTATTGGTTTTTCAGGGTGCTAACAGTTTAGTGATTTCGATCTTCAGTGGAAATTTTATGACACAATTTTAAGCTCCAGTTGTTCAAACTTTGGATAGTGCTATGCACCAGATAAACCCGGAGTCTATCTAGCGGATAATTATCATGGAAACCATTGCATTATCCAGCTTTAAAACAACTGGGTCCAACTCTTTAGAACAATGAATGTTCTAAAGCCCACTCTTTTATCAATCTGACCTCACAGCTCAGTTGGCAGGGCAAGCATGGTTGTTCTAATCTGTAGGTTGTGGGTGCAGTTCTAATCAGGGTGCAAAGGAAATCAGTAGCCCAACAGTCATTTAAAGGAGTCAGAAAAACTTTTTTTGATAAGCAGTGATTGATAATCAATTTATTATTATTTATCAACTAATTACTGGTCCAGTGGTCAGATCTTTATCTGATCAGCTTGAAAAACAGCTTTCGAAACTTCTGCAATTTGAATTCCTCCAAAGAGCTTCACTGGCCCTTCGGGAAAGTTAAGAACAGAATGCATAACTAGCCGGATCCCAAAGGCCAATAGCCCTGGACTATTGGACGCAACTTTATTTGCACATTGTTCATCAAGGCGGGCGGGCCTCAGACTAAAGAACTTTTACTTTGTCTCATGTGGCTCTCTGATTCCTTTAACTAAGGTCATTGTACATGTTCAGTGGGAATTTCATGGTACTTTAAATTTTACCTCAGAGCTAGTTCTATGTTCCGTCATAAATTTTCTAGTCCAATATTTTAGAAGTTTAAAATGTTATGATAAAAAATGTATTTTTTGTATTGAATTTTTCGTAGATTCTGCTGGCTTTGTACACTTTTTGGGTCGTGATTTAACCATCACATCATTCCAGGCCTATGAAATCCGTGTGTCACATTTTTATCAATTAAAACAGCAAAACTTTTTGTTCACAGTTGGGGTAAGTTTTCAACGTACTTTTAATAGCATTTGACACCTGTGTATTAAAAGCAACCAAGTCTTTTTCAATTTTGACAAACTTCATAAGAGCAAGTGACAGATTTGCACCAACCTACTGCTTGGCAACTACCTTACACACACACACACAGCTACATCACCTGAACAGCGGCAGCCATGGACAGCTGTTTTACCCTTCGTTTTCAAGCAAACTTCAAAGTGAAATATCCTGCAGGTACCTGTACCTGTACACCAACAATGAAATACACATCTTCCCCCCCCCCCCCCAAAAAAAAAACGACAACAACAACAGCAATATTTGTACAATAGAGCATTTGTAATACATGAACAGATGTAGTGATGACAAAATTACAAAATTAACCTACGGTATCACCTTATGGGCAACAGCTTTGTATTAATTCATGTATTAATTTTAATCCATCTAAATCTTGATTTAGGAAGATGAAGTTGATGGAGTTGATCCTATAATTCGAGTTTGGAATCTGGACAAGGTACAATTTGCTGTGTTTTTCTTTGATACATGTAATATGCTTTTGAAAAGCTTACAAGAGAACTTGTGTCATGTGAATCAAACTTGCAACACATGCACGCAAATATTGTGTTTCAACCCATGCCCTGGATTTATTGTAGGGCTGTCATGAATTAAGGGCTGGGGCTAGTTATGAATGTGACCCCCCCCCCCCAGCTACTTTCATAGGAACATACATAGCAATTTGATTCCCTGCCTACTTGTTTATTTACCCAGCATCTTGAAATCTTAGAAACAGCTCTATATCGTAAGTGCATAGCATGCAGTGATGCTGTACACTTTATTGTACTACGTAAATTGACCTCAAGATAAATATTGAAGTACACAATTGCAATTTCATGTAACTAAATGGTAATATCATCACTTTATATTCAGATTGATAAGTATGGCAATCCTGTTTGTTGCTGCATGCAGCGTCTTATCCCAGGAAACAAGCCAGTTCCGGTATGTGGTCTTCTAGCCCTTTAATTGTGCAGATACTCTTTTGGCTCGTCATGTCACATGCCCATGCCTAAAACAGTGATTTTGTTACAAATAGTTATGGTGAGTCTTGGGACTCATCTTGTGAAAAATCATGAGTCCCTGTCATAACCAATGAGTCCCAATTCAAAAAACAAGGAGGCGTAAATTGAAAATGCTTGGGCCTTTATGTAACCAGACAGTTAATCTGGGGACAGACGCCAAAACTCTTTATACAGTTTGAGATACAAGGTGACGACAGATTGTGGAGCAGTAATGCTGATCCTCCTTTTTGTTTGTCTCAAAATAAAGTAATGTTTCTGCTAAAGATTATTCTAATTTATGACAAACTTCTTTGGATGCTACCCCGAGGGTGGCAGGTTAATGAAGGTTTAACTGTAGTGAGATCCAAGGGTTTCCTAATCTTAAGGGGAGCTTGCATCAATTAAATTGATAATATTTCCCTTAGGTGTCCTGTCTTGCTGTTATGGAGAATCTCACTCAGATGGCTGTAGGATTTGCAGATGGCACCGTTCTTGTTTACAAAGGAGACATCACAAGAGACAGGTTATAAAGCTTCTAAATCGGAGACAAAATCAGTTGAGATGTTTTGCCCTGAAGGCAATGAATTTCGAATTTCCCACCATTTTGTTGCTATTTTTAGAAACATTAGTGATCTTTAGAATGTCATTTCTTTGCAACTAAATGACATTTTCAATTTTTTTTTTCACATTTCAGTTCACCTCTGAGTACTCTTTCAAAGTTGCTGACTTGTTATGTCAAAAGTCGAAAATAAGTTTTTGCTGTCAATCTTATGATGTTATTTTCCCACTAAAAACCATTAAAATCGAAAATCCAAAAGCAAAGAATTGTTGGGAATACCAATTTCTATTTTCATGCAAAGTTTTAGCTGAAACTGATAAAAATTGCAAAACTAGTCTGAAAGAGAGCACTTTTTGCTTGCAACTTAATCCGGCATGAAGGTTATAAAGCTTTCCACACCCTACCCCTTCTCCTGCCCTCCATGCAATGTTGTGATGCTGTTTGAGCTACCGGTAGAAAACAATAAACACCCCAACTTTAAATGGAGAGGGGAGGGGCAGTGGTGTGGTTTTTGTGTTCTCCGAACTTACTCCATTATTTTGAGGACAATGTCTCAACAATTTTGTCATCGATTCTTGCTTGTGTCATTATTTTTATCATTTCAGCTTTGGTTTAATACTCAAACTGCCGGTAGTTTTCATTAGTAGAAAAAAAAAGTGATCATGTTGTTGTTTATTATTTTTTCAATGGATTTTTGTTTAGCCTTGACTATTATACAAAGGAAAATTCACTTGTTATAAGTGTCTAGTTTTTTGATAGAATTGTTGCTATGTTGCTTAACGACAAACTAGATTGCCTCTAGGATTGTTCGTTTAACATACATATATATTTATACAATTTTCTTTTTTCTCTTGTACCCGCCTCGATTGGCCTTTGCTAATTGCGGGCACAAGCTTTGTAAGCTATATTTAATTTGAAATAAACTTGTTGTTGTTGTTGTTGTCTTAATACTGACAATAATAATATGTAATTGTTTATTTGTAACTTTACTTTGTTGTTTGAGATTTTGCCAATACTCCTGGGTAATTTATACAGTTTAATGTTATTGGAGTGAAAAAACCCTCATAGAATAAGTCTTGGTTGTAAATGGCTAAAATGGCTTTCCTGTCATTGTTGATTGCAGGCACACAAAACAGCGAATAGTGCATCATGATAAGCACCCTGTGACAGGTACAGTTTTATTAAAATTATTATTAATTATTTTAATTATTATAATTATTTTATTTATAATTAATTTGTCCTTTGTTGAATTTCATATGCCTTTTTGTTTGTAAAAGAAGACGTTCCTTGAAAAGCAGCTTTATCATCTTTAGACTCAAAAGTTAAAAATTGTCTCATTTTATGTCTCCAAAATTGACTCTGGGGTTGCAAATCACATTTTCTTGTCATCTTTGCTCACAGTAGTCTCCCTCGCAGCTGTTTTTTGGATGTCACAGGAGAGCATTGGGGGAGCGTTGTGTGACATCCAAAAAACGGCTGCGAGGGAGACTATGCTCACAGTGACTTTTGCACATTAATTTTAAACTGTTATGGAATGATATTATTGAGAATACACTATTATTCATTTCATTGGTAGAAATTTAATGTACTCATTGCACTAAGTTTGACTAAATGTGCTTATAGTCTGGATTATTTACAGTGGGTAACCTTAACCACAAGTATGCTTATAATTCTATCTGTTGTAGGACTTGCCTTCAAACAGACCAGTGACAGTGTAGTACTGTTTGTGGTGACAACGGAGGCTGTTTTATCTTATAACACTTCAGCAAAAGACAAGAGGGTAAGTGTCGAAAAGGCTTCACCGTCATGTACTCTACTTCTGTCCATAATCACAAAATATACCAGAAACACATGCTTTCTTTTTGGATATGTGAAATATTCTTCAACAACATCAACAACAACTTATTCAAAAATGTTTGAATTTAACATAACAATGCTTGATACCAGTTATTGGCTTAGAAGCTAGTTAAGATGGACAAACGAGAAGAGAAAAATACAGGAAAAATTTGGATGCACTCCAGTTTGTATCAATAATTTTGGTATTATTTATTGATAAAAAGGTGACTTTATAATTATACATGGACCAAAAGAAGGCCACTTTTCAAATAGTTTGCCTTTTTTTGTGCAGATTGTCTCACTTTTTAGCTGATTACCTCAGTGAACAACTGTTGAATACAATCTGAGAGATAAATCAGAATATACAATGGCATCAGCCCTCTGATTGGCTGTACACTATATATTCTTTATGGCATTAGACAAATGCACGAAATTTTACCCTGTTACTTAAAGGGCTACATGTCATGAGGACATTGCTGTTTTCAGTCAATTCCAAAGGTTATTTCTCAGTGCCTTTACCCTAACGCAAAATGCTCCCATAGAGTTATGAAGAAAATATCAAACAAACTTCATCAGGGAGTACTGAGTCTGGTGATCATTTTGTTAATTCTCCTAACGATTTCTCTTGATTATATATTGATTCAGTAAGGAGAAAATTGATGGCAGACACTCTTAGGACTTTGGGAGAGGGTTAAGGGCATTACTTATTGCCTTTTTTCATTCACCGTTTACACAGGTTCCTGTAGAGTTTGTTTATATGAAGAAGATATCGAAGAAATTTCATCAGGGAACACTCACTGTAATAATTTTGACAGTGATTTTTGCAGGCCTAACATTTCCAGTTTCTTTTCATGTTCATCCTTTTCATCAGTAGCAACAGGCAACAGTACGGTGGCCCAGAAGGGTCGCACATGCAAATTAAAAATATTGCTGCAAATTAAAAATTTTACCTGCAAATTAAAAATGTTGCTGCAAATTAAAAATAAGACATGCAAATTAAAAATTGTACATGCAAACTAAAAATATTACAAACATGAAACATGAATGGGCCAACGGCTCTAAGGCCAGGTCGCACGGCTTGGACCAGGTCCTCATCACTATTGTACAATTTTTAATTTGCATGTACTATTTTTAATTTGCAGCAACATTTTTAATTTGCACGTGTGACCCTTCTCTGCCACTGTACAACAGGAAACAGTTTCAATGCATAAAATTA